TTGTAGTGTATATTTAATTTTTCCATTACCTTGTGATGCAAGGAGTCAAGGACATATAAATAAATATTTACAATATTATAGTGATGAAATGATTACTGTTATCAGTAGCTTGTCAATTGTTTGGATATCTTTGGTGCTACTAATTGATTACTAAATAAAGAAGGTGGATGTCGCTGACAAAGAGGGTTTTATACTTGAAAATTTAATTCCCATAAATATAAGCAACTACAAACTTAATTATGAAATTGTTTATTATCCAAAATGCTGGTAAATTTTATTTTTTTTATACAATTTCTTAAATTTTCAATGTATACTTGAAATATTGCTTAGTCATTGTTTCTTACATGAGAAGTATTGAGTAAAGCATAAAAATGACTTGAAGACTGTGTTCATTGCACAACTATATCAGTTATAAGATATTCATCTTGTTACAGAGCAGACCTTTTTTCTCTGGATTTTCTGCACTCTATTTGTCTAATTTCCTTTTTCCTTACATCTTAGGCTAAAGCCTTCAAACATCCCCAAGGTCGTTGGCCAAAGAAGAGTGCTGAATTTCTATTGCAACTTTTGAAGAATGCTGAAAGTAATGCTGAGTACAAGGTAATTAACTCTTATACATTACTAGGTCAAATTAATGAGGTGGCTTTGAAATGAAAGTTTTAGTAATTCCCAAATAAAATTGTGCCCTCATTCTATCAATTCTAAGAAAATTGTGCCTACAGTCATAAATGAAAAATGTTAAAAATAAAACAAAATCCGGTTGAGATGTTTTTTCACTGAGACAAAAGCAAAATATATATTTTCTGATCAGAGCTGTTGTCTATCTGTTTACAATTTTACTTTTTGTCTTTACTCTATGAAATAGAGTGGGAAAATTTAACAAGACTATTGGGACAGAAAAGATAATGTAAAACAATAATTCTCGTATGGATTCAAGTTCAAATATCCTGTGACTACTACTTCATTTATCAGCATTCATATGATGATAACTCCTGGGACGTAATTCTGATTCCTGATTGTTCATTTATCTGATGCTTGCTGATCTTCCTAAAGTTTATTAAGAAATAAAAAAAGAAGTAAAAGCAATTTTTCACATCATAAACATCAAGGGTTTATTTTGTTTAGGATTTTTTTAGCACTTAATTTTATATGCCCCACATGTCTGACAATAGAACTTGTAAAATTCATTATTAATAACTTAATATTAATAATATTATTGATTTATAGACTTTAAGTCAAAAATTACATGTAGGTAAACTAAGGTTTCCTTAGGGCAATAGACAGGGGAAGTTATTTTTTTCAGAAAAGGTCAGTTTCACTGCTATAAGATTGTTTTCCCCTTGGAGGAAACAAAAGGTGTTTAAAGCTTCATATTAATGGTACTAGTAGATCAGTACTAGTCATTTGTATATTAACGGAGGGGTTTCTTAGGACAATGAAAGCAAGGTCAATAAACCTTTTAAATACACAATACAGTAAATACTAGATACATTGTATGTATTGGTCAAAGTACCTATGCATGTGTAGATAATTTTTAGCTAACTTAAGAATGTCAAATAATTTGTGATTTTTACAATTGCTTTGTGATTATTAACAATTTAACATACAGGGTGTTTCATAACAGAGTTTCCGAAAACTATCGGTCCTACCGGCAAAACCGATAGAAAATCGAAATGTCCGATGAAATTCGCTACAGTACCGGTCCGTGTGACCGATTGTGGTGAGGGCTTGTCCTGATTAATTCATTGTACTCTAATCTATTGTAATATCTTTATAAATGAAAATTTTCAATGCAGCAAGCACCTATTCTTCGTAAATATCTATAATCTTATCCATTTTGCAGTTCTACTTGACTTATTTACTTCCAAAAATGATCGTTTTTTCCTAATCCGAATTTCCTCCATTCCTCTGTTATTGGTAAACAAATGCAGTATATAGGTCATGAAGTGCAATGCCCACTGAGAAAACGTAAAGATAATTTAAAATTTATTTTTATTTTGAATTTCTATCATAAGGCCTAAAAAAAATATATGTTTGTTTCCTGTAACCCGACCGACCCATTCAAATTATCCCCGGGTGGATTTTTTTGTGTGACAAATGGCAGAACTTCGTTTGATCAATCAGCTGATTCCATTTATCAAATTTAAAAAAATAGCTTGTAGCTTAATTTGAGACATAAAATATGTCAACTTAGTGTACATTTACCTTAAATATAAAGAGTAATCATTATTGTAACAACAGTTTCCCCCTACAACTTTCTGAAGTTTGTTTTCTGCCGCTTGGCAGCCATTTTGGATGCCATATTGGGTGTCCACTATAAATATAACACCTGGTATTTTCGGTCCGGGGATGTTTGACCATTCATAAGCAAAAAAAGAATTTCCGACCTACCGACCCTTGATTTTTTGGGAATGTTACAGGAAACAAACTTATTTTTTTTTTAAGCCTAACTGCTATTTATATATGATTCAATTTTACAAGTGAGAATTAAACTTTAAATTTTAAAAAGAATTATAGAAGACTAGAAACCTTGAGAAGTTTTCTTTTTCAAGAATTAACCATTTTTAGTTGTTTCTTTCCCCCAACATTTACTTGGGGCTAGTGACTTTATTGCTGCCACAAGCCTGTGTGAGCTGGTGTCATGCTTGAATTAAGCATAGTTGCATAACCCTGGTATCACAATCAGTGTTTGTGAGCCACAAAATTTTTAACATATATACTCAATATATGCCATTTTCTTTGAATTACATCTGACACGAAATATACACTGTATATTTTAAAATTTATTCGGACTGATAGAATATGCTTCGGACTGGTAGAACACATTAAGTCATCAGTCCGAATGACTGATAGAAATATTTGGTTTTCGGAAACTCTGCATAATATATGTAATATATGAATTTGAATTTTAATATTAACCTGCTCCCATAGTATATATTTCTTTTGATTACTGGGGATTGAGTGGGGAACTTTGTCTTTTAAAAAATTGAGGTATACTGATTCCAACTAAAATTCATATATTCAGGGGTTTTCCTAGCTTGTTTTTGGGTCCGTTTACCGGACCCATTCCCAATCAAAAAATCAGCCATATTTTCCCAATTTTGAATCTTTTTTTCCCAATTATGCATGCATGAAAAATAAATTGAGAGTTCAGAAAGAAATAAAATATTTGTTTAAATTGTTTCCTTGCAGGACGTCTGTAAATCACGAAATGATCAACATTGATCGTATCATTGAGCTATAAAAATAAGTGATGCAATACATCTGGTAAATCACCAACTATGTTTAGTGATTAGTTATTTAATCACTTTTGAGCCATTAAAGTTACCTAAATCCTATAGAGATAATAATAAAAGGATTGCAGTTATCACAAAAGTTGTCAATGTGCAGTCCTTGTATCATCTAAAAATAGTAAGGGTTAGACTAATTTGCCTAAACGCACAAAATCTGTCATCCGACTTTTTTTTTTTTACTTTCTCATTAAAATAGGCCTATTCTGAGAAATATTTTCATTAATTTTTGTTACTATACATATTAAAAACACTGGAAAACAACTTATTCCAAACATATTATTTCCACAATTGTTTTTTTATGTTCCCCAAACGAAGTTGGGGAACATATTGTTTTTACTCTGTTTCTTATTATTATTATTTTTTTTCTTCTTCCTGGGAAAATCTTTTCCGCGAATGATCTTGTAAACTACACGTCCGATTAAGGTGAAACCTTTTTAAGGTCAGTAGGCATGTTATGTAGATTTGCGGAACAAAGGTCATTTTGCGCGCACGTGCTTGCAAGAGCGAGCACGTGCAACGCGTGAAATGACCAAAATAATAGATATAGCCGTAACTTTTCTATTTTTTGATTATATGGTTTGATATTCATAATATAAGTATATATTGGTAGTATAGACGTGTTGACATGGTCAAAATAGCAAGATCTCACGCGCATGCACTTGCGCTTCGCTCTGATTGGCTGAAACCAAGTCTCAATATCTTTCTTGTTTTACGTCATAATCCTTTGAAATTTTGAACAGTCATACATTATGAAGATCTACAGCATGATATATAAGAATTATCATGAAAACAGGTACATGCGCATGTGCTGGCAATAGAGTGCACGTGCCACATGTGAAATTACCAAGATAGTGGATGAAGCCGTAACATTTTTATTTCTTGATGAAAATTTTTGAAACTCACAATGCATGAATATAGTAGTAGTATAGACAAGATGACATGGTCAAAATTGCAAGATCTTACGCGCATGCACATGCGCTTTACTCTGATTGGCTGAAACTAAAGTCTCAATATCTTTCTTGTTTTACGTCATAATTCTTTGAAATTTTGAACTTAGTCACACATTATGAAGATCTACAGCATGATATATAAGAATTATCATGAAAACAGGTAAATTCATGTGTGCTTCTATCTGATTGGCTGAAACTTTACATGCTTATATCTTTCTTGTTTCTCAACAAAACAGGATGAAGTTTAGAATATGAATAGGTATTATGGATTCCTTCATGATACTGCTATCAAAATTGATTGCAAGGACGTGCTTGCATGCACATGCGCACACACAATTCGCAAAATGAGCAATATGTTTGAAAAACTGTAAAATTTATATTTTTATGACTTTTCATTGATTTCTGGAATAAAGATATGTTAATGGTTTGGACAACATTCCATGATTACCTTGCATGTGCATGCACGTGCATTTGCCTGCAATGCGTTAAATGACAAAAAGTTGATATCATTGTACCTTTTAAAATTCTTTAATGAAATCTTGCGATACTAAGCATATTTAAAAAGTTATAAAGGAAATTTGCACAAAAAGGGAGTTGGGGAGCGTTTGGGGAACATCTGTAACGGTCCCCGTTACAATTAGAACTAGTTTTATTTTGTTTTTTACTCCAGTCATGAATGTAAAGTAAATAAAATTAAACATTTGTCAATGTTTTTCTCCCTGTAATTTTTATTATTCATTAAAAAATATGCACACAATGATTGTTATAACATTAAAATATTTTTTGCTGAAATTTTCCATTATCCAATTAAAAAATATTATTTCCTCTGGGGTATGTCTTTTAACCACAATGAACCACAAGGAACCACAATGAACCACAATGAAACCACAAGGAACCACAAGGACATCTTAACTTGTCTCTAAATTTTACTCTCTAATTCCACTGTACAAAAATCATCCTATACACTCATGACATCTGACAGAATTCATATTTTAAGGTAAAACATTTTCTTTGTACATAACATATTTAAATACATATAACTATTCTATTTGTATATTTCATTCAGAGTCGATTAAAATGTTAACTGAAAAACTTGAAGTACATTGTAATGGCAATATACATGAAACTTTTAAATACTGATATCAATTATCTGAAGTTTGCATCACAGGTGCCTGTCCCATCTTCCATGCAATTAAAAAAAAAAAGAGTCCCGGGCCTGCCTAAATGAGAAAAATTTTGATTTTTTAAAGTTCCTAAAAAGTCCAAACACATTGTAATGGGGAATGCGCAGCATTCCTTGTCCATGTAAGTAAGCCCTCAATACTCTGAATGACAAAAGATCGAGATAATTTCCTTTATTTAGTGCAGCTACTGTTACAGTTTTTAAAAAGTTAATAATTTAATACCTCGTCTCCAGAGTTCTTTATGCTTTTAACTTAAATTTTACATATTTTGTAGTAGACTAAATGCATTTTTAAAGCATGCCAAAATTTTTACAGCTTGATGCCCAGAAGTAAGGAAAATGATTTTTAAAATTGCATTAATTTTGATGGTTTTGGTCCCAACCTCAGGCCCTGTGGGTAAGAGATTTTGAAATCCAAAAGTTTTCTCCCCTTTACCTATAGATGCTTTGTACCCTGTCAAAATTGGTTGAAATTGGATAAGCTGTTCAAGAAAAGGAGCTGAAATGGTTCAAACGATTAGGAAACAGACGGACAGGAAGCACAACGTCGGACAATAACATATAGCAATAGGTCACCTGTGTGACTCGGATGACTAAAAATTGCACATATAAACCATAATTAGACTCATTAAAATTAAATTAAGATGTCCTTGTGGTTTCCTTGTGGTTCCTTGTGGTTTCCTTGGGTTTCCTTGTGGTTCCTTGTGGTTCATTGTGGTTCCTTGTGGTTCATTGTGGTTAAAAGACGTACCCTTTCCTCTGAAACTTTTTCTTCACATCATGCAGCCATGAATACATCTAAATATTTTTCCTTGGAAGACGAGTTTTCATTACCCAATTGAAAAATATTATGTCAACTATTTTTTTTTTACATCAGTGAGTCATAGAATTATAGGCATATAAAACAAAAAAAAAATTTATTATCCAATAATTGATCAAAAACTCTGTATATCTATCTACAGTTGTTCATTCTGTTGTAAGACAGACATGAGCTTTTGGCCCCTTCATTTTCATTTATTTGGGGAAATAAGAAAATTTTGTTCTATTTAAAATTTTCCCAATTTGACCATATTTCGCGTCAATTTTCCCAATTCTGCGGACCCTGGACCCAGTTTAAAAATCGTAGGAAAACCCCTGATATTGCATGAACTCAAGAAGTGCGAGTCAGCGTCTTCATGTTTTGATCAGATTTTCATCAAAGATTCGTTTGGTTGTAGTCTGGATTATTTTGAGAGCATTGTGGCTTAAGAAAACGTTATTGAAATACATTTATTGCAAAAAAAAAAAAAGACCGAAGAAGATACATATGTAAATATTTGGTCTTGAGACTTGAATGCTACAAAATGGTATTAGATGCATTATAATACACAACCTCGATCAGTTTACATTTCTGTTCATCAGCATTCACATGATGATAACTAGAAATGGGACGTAATTCTGATTCCTGATTATAAACTTATCTGATGCTTGCTGATGTTGAGTTCAATTTAATGCTACAAGGTTCATTATATGAATAAAATTTTTACTTTGCAGTATTTGATTTATTTCATTATGTCTAATGTTGAAATGTTTCAGGGATTGGATACCGATCACTTGGTGATTGAACACATTATGGTGAATGCTGCACCCAAAATGAGGAGGAGGACATACCGTGCTCATGGTCGAATCAATCGTAAGTATACCTTGTAGCATTTCATTTGTCCTGTTATGAGGTCAATCAATGACATACCAATTAAACACAAAATATTGTTGAATTACCATGATCAAAATGATTGTACATCCAACTTTTCGACTGCTTGAAAGGGATTTCGATTAATTACTTAAGAATGTGGTACCTCTAAGATTACAACATACACCATTAATTTTTCTGAAGGCTGCAAGATTTAAAATGTTATTTTGGCTTGCAAAGTGACATTTTGTTTTGAAGTTGTACATTGTTCCATTTAAAAGAATGCAAATAT